GAGAGAACCCAGTTAAACAAATGAGTCAAAAACATTATACTTGTTCATTTTATTGAGGAAAATGATCCAAAGCTACAGCAAAATTTTCTGCTGTGATACATTGACTGTGCGTAAAGACAGTTGCTTTGCTTTTCTGCTTGGTTTCAAGGCAAATTCACAGCTCAGGAAAAATGGAGTGGGAGAGGATGCTGTAGGGCATGTGGAGCACAAAGCAGAATATCCATTCCCTTTCCCCAGGACCTGATAGACAGTCTTGCTTTTTTCAGTCCTGCTTCTTGCTGTCCAGAATCCAGAATTCCAAAAGCTTCTGCCTTTTCATAAAATTGGTTAGTTGGAAGAGGCGCTACTAGACTCCTGACTTTTTTCCACCCCAGACTAACATGAGTCTCCTCCTACAATGTCTACAGGATTACTGTTCTCCATTAGACAAAATAGCGCTAAAATAACAGCAATATCCTTGTCGTCATTCCCTTGCCTTTCTACCTGAAGGTTCCAGCCTGCTCTAGCCTGGTGGATAGTGCCCCTTTCAGGTTCCTTTGCTCCCAGTTGGACCCCTCCTGCCTGCCTGCCTGCCTGCCTGCCTGCCTGCTTGTTCACACCCAGCCCACTGGCTTTCAGTCTCCTCTTCAGAGACTCTTTCTGCCTTGTCTTTGCAGAGTTTAACAAAAAAGTTTTTCCATGTAAAAACTTAGAAGGAGGGTATTTCTTCATCCTTCCCCTCCAAATAGTTGCAAAAAGTCATCTTGGCCACTAGATGAAAAGAAAATTCAGGAAAAATCAACATTTTCCCCAAAATGCACGGAAATAAAGAGTTTGGAGCACTCAGATTACATTTCTGAAAATAAGGAATGTTGGAATTAGGCACATCCAGCAAAGAATAAGATAAAACAAAAATAGACAACATACAACACAACTTCAGCTGCTAGGCCTCCATTCAGCGGACTTCAGATGCAATAGACAAAAATTTGGTTCGGGCATTACCCGAAGAACATAAAGATTGAGTGTATAACTATGCAAAAGATGTTAACTGACATAAATGTTTGGAGTTAACAGACATCCCTCCCCTCCAAGTGAAGTTTTGTCCTTTGTCCTACGCCGGCCAGCTATGCTACTCGGCTCTCAGCAGCGCTGGGCCAGGAAGGCTGGAAGCGTGTAAGTGGAGGCTAAGCGAGCGCAGCTCTCAAACGCTGGCTCTGCAGGGCTGCCTAAACCCGGCCTGAGGCAGCGTGGAGAAAACCTTCGAGCTCCTACGCAAGGAAGAGCTGTGGAGAGTTCCGAAAAGGGGGGGTGAGGTTTCACTCCCAAACCGTCCCTTTCAAGAACCCAGGAGATACATGGTTTTAGCCTTAGTCAGCCTGCTTGGAATTATGACAGCCAAGGTAAACCTATCCGTGCCTAAACGGAAAGCAGCTCTCTCGAGTTTCTCTTCGCCATGAAAGAGAATTGCAGCCTAGAGGTGTGTATACTTACACCATGGGTGTGCAAAAACGGAGAAGAGAGAGCCACTGGAAAAATCTTCATCTTGCAAACTACTTAAGACTAAACATTTCAAACTACAACTTATGAAAGTATCCACCAATCTGCGTGCAAACTTTCTTGAATACAATGAAGAGGGTGCTACGAAGAAGACTCTGCTGGAAGGAGGGACTTATGCTGTGCTCAGGGGGAAGAGCTGGTGCAGCTGGCAAGCAGGGAAGACAGGGAAGCCCCGTGCCTGGCTTGGAGGAGAGCAGGAGCCCTGGCATGTTTGTTTCTGGCTCCTCTTTATCTATCTGGAGCACGAGCTGAGCTAAAGCGGAGAGGAGACGTGTCCTACTGAACAGGTTCAGGGAAAACGGCCGGCAGGAAAGGCAGAGAGAGGGCCTGGAGGCAGCTCCTTCCGAGAGGCTTGCAGGATGGCGGGGCAGTGGCAGTTGGCTCCGGATCTCACAAAATCTGAATATCCGGGCTGCCCTTGAAATAAGCTCGGTTCTCCCTTGCACAAC